GCGCGGAGGGCGCAGAGCGGAGGGCGCGGAGCGGAGGGCGCGGAGGTGCGCTAGAGAAGGCGCGGGCTAGGAAGTAACAAGGAACTAACCTACTCGTGATACCATCTCAAAGTTAGAATGCAACGGAATGGTTGACTATAGAAAGGAGTTGGGGTACAAATAGGAAACCCTAACATGTTTGTACTCACTAAGGAGCACCTCACTACAGGCTATCACAAATATCAACATTTGACAGATTGAAGATACTTCGAAACACATCCCTGAATATACAGCATCAGCACTAACAAAATCGTGGATGTGTGTGTGCGTGCGTGCATGCGTGCGTGCGTGCGTTCGTGGGAGCAGAGGCCAGAGAAAATAATGGCTGTGGGAGGGGCGTGATAATGAGGGTGGGTCAGGTTTCACCTGATCTAGCCTTGTAGACATTCTTAGGACCATAAGTTAGTTCGTGAAACTCGCGCTCACAGCTGAAACTGCTCTTGTTCATTTGGTATCGAACCAGCTTGTATGAGGTCAATGCCTGCTCTGGCGTCGATGGGATTGGAACGGTTGGATCGCGTTCCGTTCGACAACCAGGTCAACGCGTTCCAGAGTAGCTTGCTCGCTCACCGCGTTCTGCGGTCGCTAAGCCAATCAGTCGTCGACTTCTTTCTCCTGTCAGCCTGACACAATGAGCGCACCTCCCGCAGACCCCGGTCGTCCGCAGTCGAGCTCTCGTCGGCGATGTGGTAACACGGCGAGGTACTGCGTCCCCCGCAAAGAACGGCGCCATCAGATAATCAAAACCGACTCCTCCCCTCAGCGAATGAATGCACGTCGTCGCCTCTCTCCCTTCGCGTCCCTCCCTCTGCGCCTATCAGAAACGTCCCTCCGTTTAGTCCAAACGCGCACGCTAGATCTCTGGTGTTAGCCGCATTCGCCGCTTCGATTTGTGCGTTCCGTGCTCGCTCTCGCTGAGTCGCTCTCTTTCCGCGATCCCCGCAATTCACGTTCGTAACTCGATGGCCTCACCACTCGTTCCCAACGCATAAATCACATCCGTCTTTCCTTCGCCATCGCACAGCATTTCTCTAGCCCCACACCAGATTCTCTGTTTCTTCCACTTAGGACCCCACACGCTTCGCTGCAGCGTGTTTCTCGTCACATCGTTTCTTGCTTCTCGTCACCAGTTTAGCCTGGTCCGTTCTCGTTACTCATTCAACGTCGGCCTTTCCCGTCGCTCGTCCCCGTCGCCCCGCCTCCCCGTCACTCATTGCCATCATGGAGCAGCGCCCCCGTTCCGCCCTCCGCCGCTTCTCCGCGCTGCTAGTCGTGGCCGGCCTCGCCGCGTTAGCCGTGCTCGTCGCGCCAACCACCGCCAGCAACGCCTACTTCCCTCCCTACCCCTTCGCGCCCAGCAACACGGGCATCTATGTCTTCAGCCCGGGCGAGCCTGAAAAGGAGAACGAAGGCAAAGTCCTCAGATACGACCAATCGATGTGCGTCAGCGTGGCGCAAGGCGGGAATCGCTTCGCCAAGGGCGGCGTGGTGAGGGTGCGGTGGGACACGATAGGGGTGAAAGAGTACTCGTGCAAGCGAGTGACGTTCCACCGCACCGCAAGCTGCACGGGGGGGCCCTACTTGGCACTCGTGCGCCCCGACAGGCAAGGCGCCCCGATGAGCAGCAGCGAGCGGCGCGCGATGCTCACACGCAGGTGAGCCCGTCCGCCCGCCCTGCTGTCTTCTGCTCTGGTCTGCTGTCGATTGCTCTTTTCTACAGTCATCTGCTGTGCTCTGTCTCCTCGTCATTCTCTGCTTCGAGACTCACAGCAGCTCTCTCGCTGCTCACCTGCGTCCGCCCATGCCATGCCCCGGTCGTGCTGCTCGCAGGGCGTTCATTCCCGCCCAAGTTCCCAAGTCGGTCAAATGCGAGCTCAAATGTGAGTCCCTCTGGCGGAGTGTTGAGTTGTGAGCTCTGTGTGTCATTGTTGCAACTCTACAACCTGCGAAGCATTCACGTCATTCTAGAATCACTCTCTGCCATCCACAACAAAGAATTACGAGGAATCCTTGCACCTGTGTCGCTGCCAAAGCGTCTATGATCTCGTGTCCTTGCACATATCTAAACGCCCATGGTTCATGCCACCATGGTTCATGCCACCGTGGTTCATGCCACCGTGGTTCATGCCACCATGGTTCATGCTACCGTGGTTCATGCCACCATGGTTCATGGTACCATGGTTCATGCTACCGTGGTTCATGCTACCGTGGTTCATGCTACCATGGTTCATGCTACCATGGTTCATGCCACCGTGGTTCATGCTACCATGGTTCATGCTACCATGGTTCATGCTACCATGGTTCATGCTACCATGGTTCATGCTACCATGGTTCATGCCACCATGGTTCATGGTACCATGGTTCATGCTACCTTGCTTCATGCTACCATGGTTCATGCTACCATGGTTCATGCTACCATGGTTCATGCTACCATGGTTCATGCTACCATGGTTCATGCTACCATGGTTCATGCCACCATGGTTCATGGTACCATGGTTCATGCTACTGTGGTTCATGCTACCATGGTTCATGCACATTCGCTCCACTTGCTCTCTTCCATCCAACAGCACTCTCCATCCACGTTGATCACCCTGTTTTGCCGAGTTCTTCCTTCCTTCTGTGCACTTTCCTCCCATTCCTCGGATCCTACCTTTGAGCAGGAGCGCAATCAAAGGGGCTTATGGGATAGGCGGGCCAGCAGCAGCCATCCTAGTGTAGATCATCGAATATTTAGGTCCGGGCTATTTAGGACAACAGGCACGGCCGTATCACAAGCCTACAAAAGCTTTTACGCCGTGCTCGATGGATCATTTGGTTTTGCAGTGGGATTTTTTGTTGTTTTTGTTTGTTTATATATATATATATACTTTATGTTATTTTCCTTTGAGTAGTACCGGTACACTATAATCAGAAACGTTTCCACTTCAAAATACCTTACATGTTGAAAGCAGATCCTGAACAGAAATTAAAGAGACGGTGCACATTTGCCACCCAAAACCCAGAACCCTGGCGAACTGTTACTGCGGATGGAAAGTGTCCGCACGAAATCCTGGTTCAAGAAAAAAACTTCTGAACCCAACACTGCCAAAAGTTGCCCGTCGCTTTAAAGCCAGGATCTCAAGTAAGAGAAATTGGCTTCAATTGCAAAACACTTGCAGCTCGAGTCACCCTGTTTGTTTAGGCGAAATCGAGTGGTTGGCTTGGAGGTTCAGTGTGCGACTGATCCCCGATTTGCCCGTGAATCTCAATTGCAAAACAAATTGCTGTACATGAGATTTTTCGGCAAGTGAGACACATTGCTGGGAAATGAGCTTCGGAACCCAACCAGATTTCCGTGCCTAGTTGGTTCGGAAGTTCACTGCGATTTTTGTTTGCTTCGCATCCCTCGTTTCAGCTCTCGTCAACTACTCTACCTCGTCAACCAATCACAGCCTAACACAATTCACTAACTGCAAAACAGCCAAACTACTTGAGATCCTGGCTTTAAGGGTACATTCCGCTGTGGACACATGTCCCAATCGATGTGTCCCAATCGTTTCTACCGCACTGCATCGTATTACACAAAATTGCACCCTAGTTTCGAAATTTTCGCGTCTCTGGTTTAGTTCGGTTCGGAGCGGTACACTCGATTGGGACACATCGATTGGGACATGTGTCCACAGCGGAATGTACCCTAAGTCATCATATTCCACTCCAAATTTGACCTATTGTACTAGTTGCTATGGGACCCTCAGGGTCGCAATTACCTGGGATAAAAACAGCAGTTAGGTGGTATGAAAAGAATGCTGCACTATGAGAAAACCCAGAGTATGATAGAACAAGAGCATCTGTAGATGCCAAAAGCAGCCACTCTACAACAATGTCAATGTATGCCGCCGATGCGTTGGTTTGTGTAGGTTGACTTGAAGAGGGTGGCGATGTCGGTTCAGCATTGGCAGTTGAGGGAGTTATGGTGGATTTTAGGGTGTTGGCATGTACCAGGACAATGTCTGATGCCACCACCTGTGACAAAAGAGGGGATGAGCATTGGGAGACGATGGGGAATAATTATTTTGGGTTGCTTGAACTATGGCATGTCTTGCAACATTTATGAAACCCACAGCCTGCTCCAAAAGACAGTTAAGATGATGACAATGACGAGGAGGCACTGTGAGGGTGAGTGGTCAGGAGATCGGAGCGAGGTGCGGACTTCAGCGTATTTCTTTTAAGGAGGGGAGTGGGGAGGGTCGGGGGGGGGGGGGGGGGGGGGGGAGAAGGGAGGGGTAGGATGAGTGCATGTGTGCATGTGTGTGTGTGTGTGTGTGTGTGTGTGTGTGTGTGTGTGTGTGTCGGGGGGGAGGGGGGAGGGGTGGTTGTATGTGAGTTGCTGAGTAATGTGTACATGGATGTGTACATGGATGTGTACATGGATGTGTACATGGATGTGTACATGGATGTGTATGTGTGAGAGGAGGAAGAAATGGCACGGGGAGGGGAGGGCACATGCCTTGTCGGGGTATTTAAGCTTCAAATCTTCCTTGAGCTGCCGTGAGTTGCTGATGACAAGCCACCTCACGCTGGTGGGAGGGGGCATCCACCAGAACTCCAGCTTCTGAACGGCAAAAGAGGCACGGGAAATACAAGGAGAGGGAAAACCGGAAGCGGGGGCGGGTGGGGACGAGGCAGGCCATGATGATGCACTTGCGGTGTAGAATGCTCTCCTTTATCATTCCCTGCCTAGCTTGACTCAAACCAACACCTTCACAGACACACCGCCCTTGCTAAGTGCCCCTCGCATCGCGCCCCGAGCTCCAAAGGAGGGCAGCGGAAAACCCCTTTTCTTGCATTTTCACATTTGGAATTCTGTCGGCCCAGTGGGTACCCACACAACTGAAACATCATCATGGTTGTAGCTGATTCCAAATTTTTAAAGTTACCTTTTCCAGGGTTCAGCCTTGGATTCCCTCGTTATATTCTCTCACATCCAGTGAAACCCCGAACTCCCATCACCACACGCACCTCAGCGCACGCCATGTAGCTGTGAGCCCACGCCATCAGCACGCCCCTCTCCCCGTCGCTCAGCACCTTGGGCTCCCCAAACCCCTCCTTGCCCTCCCACACAAACGTGTCGTTCGCTCTCAGGTGGATCCCCACCACCGCCACCCTGTGGCCCGAGGAGCCACCAGAGGCAGCTGAGTGGCCAGTGGTTGCAGAATGAGGTTGGCGGAGCGGGGAAGAGGGGGCGGAGGGAGCGAGAGAGGAGAGGAGGCGGTGGTACATGGCTTCGGCTTTTGCTATCACGTCGGGCTGTGGCCTGGTGGGTGGGGGTGTGTGGGGTACGGAGGGGCAGAAAAGGGTGTTGGAGCAGGAGAGGTGAGAGGTGAGGTGAGAAGGAGAGGTGAGTGGCTTGCTGCGTGAGGGGGGTGTACAGGGAGGGATGCGGATCGAGGCAGGGGCATGAGTGTTTGAGGCGAGAGCATGAGCGTTGGAAGCAGGGGCATGAGTGGACTTCTCCTCGATTCCTTGAAGAGAGGTATCCAGTGGCCCTGAACCACCCTTGAAGGAGCTGGACCGAAGGACGCCTTGAGATTGAAGCATGGTTTGGGAAGCCTCAAACCCAACAACTGAGAGCCATCAAGCAATAAGTATCAGAGCAGCAAACCTTGAAGGGTCTAAGGGTCAGAGCGAGCCCATGCAATCACATAACATGTAAGTGCTGTGGCGTTAATGCTGTGTCGCGTGTGTGTCAATGGGGGCATTGCACATACACATGCGAGGCGATGGAGTGATGCCATATCCATGCCCCATGCCCATGCCCATGCCCATGCCCATGTCCCATGCCCGTATCCCATGCCCATGTCCCATGCCCATGTCCCATGTCAAGCCAATATCCATACCCATCTCCTCCCATGCCCATATCCCATGCCCATATCCCATGCCCATGTCCCATGCCCGTATCCCATGCCCATGTCCCATGCCCGTATCCCATGCCCATATCCCATGCCCATATCCCATGCCCATGTCCCATGCCCGTATCCCATGCCCATATCCCATGCCCGTATCCCCTGCCCGTATCCCATGCCCGTATCCCATGCCCATGTCCCATGACCATGTACCATGTCAAGCCAATATCCATACCCATCTCCTCCCATGCCCATCAATGCCCCCTCCATTTCCATGCACGTGCCCATGCCCATGCGCATGCCCCACGCCCATACCCATGCCCCATGCCCCATTCCCCATGCCCATGCCCATACCCATGCCCCATGCCCGTGCCCATGCCCGTCCCCCATGCCCATGCCCCATGCCCATGCCCAAGCCCCATGCCCATGCCCATACCCATGCCCCATGCCCCATGACCCATGCCCATGCCCATGCCCATACCCAATATACCCATGCACCTCCATCCACCCTTCACAACCTGCGGCCGCCATATGTAGCAAGAGGTGGAGGGAGCAACAACGCGGACGAGACTACAGTTGCTGATTAGAAGGAATGGAAGAGACGAATAACAAACAAGCATAACGACTGAAGCAGAGAAAAGAACGGAGGCGTTTGACTCGTTTGTTGTTAGTCATTCCCTTCTACTCAGCAGTTACACCGACCTGCACGAGCCAATAGGTGAGCAGGCCTCTGTTCCACGACAGCCGCACGTTCAAGGCCCGGTCCAGCAGCGCGAAGAACTCCTCCGGCTCCACAAACTGGTTGCGCAGATCCACCACCACCACCTCCCCCTCCTGCACTATCCCCCCCCTCCGCCTCCCCCCCTCTTCTCCACCACTCCCCCCCTCTCCCCCAACCCCACCCCCTCCTTCTCCTCCTCCTCCCCCTTCAGGCCCCACCAGCACTCCCCTTTTCACTACGATCCGCCGAGCCGGCTCCACAGGAACGTCCGGTGAGAACGACCAGTCGATGAGGTTCGGCGCGAACGCAAGCGGCAGGAGCGGGTGGCGGAGAATGAGGGCTCGGCGGGTGAGCAGCGCGCAGGCGAACGCGGTGGCGAGGCCAGTGAGGGAGTCTGCTAGCCCGCCCGGCTCGTCCAGCCACTCGTATGCGAGGAAGCGGATGGAGGGGTCCAGGGCAGGCTGGGGGTATGTCACTGGGGGTGGGGGGGATGGCGGAGGAGGGGGTGGAGGAGGGGGGGATGGCGGAGGGGGGGATGGAGGTGGGGGAGATGGAGGCGGGGGGGATGGGGGAGGAGGGGATGGGGGAGAAGGAGGTAAGGGGGGAGGGGGGGAGAATGAAGGGTGTGGTGGTGAAGGTGGGGGTGGTGGTTTTGGGGGCGGCGGTGATGGGGGTGATGGTGGTGGCGGTGATGGTGGTGGTGGTTTTGGTGGTGGGGGTCTTGGTGGTGGTGGTGCTGGCGGTGGTGGTGGTGGTGACGGTGGTAACGTTGCTGCAGCAGCAGCGGCGGCAGCATTAGAAGCAGCAACAGCCGTCTGTGCAAGGGTGGTGGCGTGGGAGCGGGCAGCCTGGCGAATGCGGGCGTGCAGGGCGGAGTAGTCGCGCGCCCAGGAGCCACAGAGAGCGTGCGAGAAAGTGAAGTCCAGAAAGGAGGCGACGGGGGAGGCAGACGCACGCAGTGAGGGGAGGAGCTGGCGCCAGGGAAGGGGAAGTGCAGAGGTGAACACGGGAGGATGGACAACAGGGAATGGAGATAAGGTAGGACGGAAGGGAGGATGGGATGAGAGTGAGGATGAGTTGCTGGAGAGTGAGTGGGGGAGGATTATTGGTAAACGGGAATGAGGATGAGTAATGAGTGAGGATATGTTGGTGAGAGCGAGGTGAGTAATGTTATGCAGCGGTCTGTTGGAAAGAACGCGCAGGCTTCGACGTATCACGTTTGTACGGTAGCGTATATACGGAAGGAAAAACGCGATACGTTCCGTCATGCGTAATACGTTTCGGTTGGGCAGCCCTGAGAAAAATAAAAACAAAACAAAACAAATTTTTGTTAGTCGCCGTTCCCGCGATATGCGATTCTGCGATACCTAATTTTCGAGATCCAAAATTCGAATGCCTCCCCCCCTTTCTTTTTCTCCCCCACCCCCCCACCCCCCCACCGCACATCACCCCACACCACCTCCCAAACCCAACCCTTCCCTTCCACCACGAGCAGCTCCCAGCTTTCACTTCTGCGTGAGTGAAACAGCAAGGGGAGTCCTTCCGAATCTCATTTGCCTCACGACTATTCTACTCTACGTCTCTTCGTAACTCACCTCACAGTTTAGCTCCAAACAGCTATGTCGACCACTAATGTCGCACCAGCTATTGCTAGCAGCCATAGATTTCGCGTCGCTTGCAGGATCTTCTTTGCAGCCGCAATTTCAGGACGATTCTAGCCAACAAATTTCAGACATTTCAGGAGTGATCGCGGAAACTCCAAGAAAGTTATCCGCATCTGCAAATATTGCTGAACTTTTTATCCCCAAAAGCGATTCTACCCCACGGAAATGTTTTTTCCCTGCCGGAAGTTTTTTTTACCCTCCCGACACTCCGTATTTCGGGGTTTTTTCTACGCTGGAAATTACCGTATCGCTTACGGGCAGCTATAGTTCGTTCGCGCACCGTACGCGATTCGCGTATTTCCAACATCTAGCGTTCTGGAAAGCTCAGCTCTCAGAATTTCACAGGTTGTGAAACAGAACTCACGGAAAAGGCGGGAGCGGCGAGCAGGAGGGCGTTGGCGACTGCATCATTCTGTCTGCGGCGTCGCCTCGCCGTTTGAAACATCTCCGAAGTCACACGATGCTGCCGCCTCCGTGCGCCCATGCGCTGCTTCGTACAGCTATATACCCGTACGGTGCATGAATGCAACCGGCCGCCTTCGCTGCGCACGCCCACATTTCCCCCCTCTGTGTCGAACAGAGCAACTAGGCTCCTCCTGGCGACTGCTGAACTGACAATTTCGGACTCTGACAACGACGGGATCGCCATCGGCGCCAAAAGAAGGCATAGAGTGCTCGCTAGCTTTATGCTGCCCAACGAGTCACGTCAAGCTGTCGCCGACGTGTTTACTATCCCTGGGTCAATTGAACCGCAGGTTCGCTATTTCGGCAGATTGAGGAGCGCCTCGAACACTGCCCTAAGGAGTGATTGAACTTAGAGAGAACAAGATTGATTGAACTAGGAAAGTTGGGAGTACAAGTATGAAACCCTAGAGATTGTACCCCCTAAGGCTAAACCCACTACAGCCTACAAAGCACAAACATATACAATTATTGACACAACCCCATAGGCAAAGTGGGAGACAACCAGATGGTCACAAGACCAGTCAAGGCAAAGCAAAGCAAAACAAGCTCAGGGTGGATCTCAAGGATACCACACAAATTCCGAGCACAAGCAAGCGGTCACAAGACCAGTTCACATGCAGTTTGATAATATAACAAGAGGTACAGTGATCACAACCTAGCAAGTGTAAGCATGCAGATATATATATAGAGATCACAGTACAAGCAGAGTCAAGAAGTGAGCAAGTGAGGGACAGTAGGCACTAGGCCTAGAACAGTACAGAAACGCTGATGATCACAAGGCTGAAGCGCCTTGGTGAACACATCAGCAGTGTTGGCCCGAGTGGCCACGTAGGTAAGACGAAGCTGACCACGCTGCTGCAGCTCTCGAGCAAGGAAGTAGCGCAGAGCGATGTGCTTCGTTCTGTGCTCCAGTCTGTGCTCCTGACACAAGGCAAGGGCGGCCTTGTTGTCGACGTACAGCACTGGAGGAGAACGAGGCCGCTCTCCCAGGTCGGTCAGCAGGTAAGTGAGCCAGCGTAGCTCTTGGGTAGCCATGGCTGTGGCGTAGATCTCAGCCTCACAACTGAAGCTGAGAACCGAAGACGAGCGTGTAGAACGCCAAGAAACTGAGCCAGAGCCAAGGCTGAAGGTGTAACCCTGAGACGACCGCTGAGTAGCCTGGTCGTCAGCCCAAGAAGCGTCTGAGTGTCCAGTGAGGACAACGTCGCGCCGTCCTCCAAGCACAAGCCCCATGCCCGATGTACTGCACAAGTAGCGCAACACCCTCTTAGCGGCATCCATGTGCTCCTTCCGGTGACGGCCAGGAGCGACATAGCGTGCTAGGATGCTAAGAGGGTATGCAAGGTCAGGTCGAGTGCAAGTCATCAGGTACATGAGGCAGCCCACAAGCTCTGGATACGGGCCACTCGGCTCTACGGACTCATCCGAAGGCAGAGCTGAGAGCGAGAGACCGGTAGGCAGAGGAGTGGGCTGAGGCGAGGAGTACGTGAAGCGGAAGCGCTGAAGGACCTGCTGCACCATGTGTGACTGAGTCAAGGTGATGGTGCGCTGTGCTCTGTCCCGGGTGATCCGCAAGCCAAGATAGCTTGTCAGCTCACCCAGGTCTGTGCACGTGTGTCTCTTCTGCAGCTCCGACTTCACGTGGGCGAGTGCCTCAGTGTCAGCAGTAGCAAAGACCAAGTCGTCTACGTACACTAGAACGTAGAACGGTGGCAGAGTGGTGTCGGTGCGTAGAAACAGCGATGGGTCAGCAGTAGAAGGAGCAAACCCAAGAGCAGCAAGAGTAGTCCTCAGTGTGTCGTGCCACTCAAGAGTGCCTGGCGGAGACCGTAGACTGGCCGCCGGAGGCTCCACTGGGTACCAGGAGGGAACGACCCAGTGAAGCCAGGTGGGCGGCGCAGCCAGATCTCCTCGTGCAGGCTGCCCTGTAGGAAAGCAGTGCTGAAGTCAAGAGAGTGGAGCTCGTAGTCACGCTGAGCAGCGACGTGCAGCAGAACCCGAAGAGTGGTCATCTTCGGGGTCGGGGAGAAGGTCTGGAAGAAGTCAACTCCCTCTCGCTGACTGAAGTCTCGTGCAACGTAACGCGCCTTGAAGACAGGCGGAGAACCCGGCGGCCGCTTCACCCTGAAAATCCACATGCCACTGACGATGTTCGCCCCAGGTGGGGGAACCTCGTCGACGTAGGTGCCTGTGGACTTCCAGGAAGCCATCTCTGCGTCCATGGCTTTCTGCCACTGAGAGGAGTAGAGACCCTCCATCGCCTCTGCGTAAGAGCGTGGGGTCGGGATGTCTGGTGCATCCGGGTCTCCCTCAGGGGCAATCAGCATGGACACGAGATGAGGTAAAGCAGTGGCAAAGCACTCAAACTCCTCCTGTCTGTCCTCAAGGACGTCCGTGCCAAGAGCACACTCACCCCCGACGAACGGAGGACAGACAGACTCAGACTCAGCAACAAGGCTAGCGGCGTAGTCTAGACGACAGGCGGCAGCAAAGTCAACAAGCTCAGCGACTAGAGCAGACGCAGCAGAGGACTCAAAGGTAGGGTCAGTGACAACAGTGGCAAGGAGACGCGCGACAGTAGGACTGGCAGCACGAGTAAGGTCTAACGGCGGGTCAGCAATGTCAGGAAGAGAGGACGCAGGAGGAGACGGCAGAGGGACACGCTGTGGAGCAGTGGAAGGACGCAGGGTCATATAGTGAGTGCCAAGGACAGGAGGAGGACGCTGACGCGGAGCACGACGACCAGCGCGGACAGCGCGGACAAGCGACTCTGGACGCGACTCAGGCGACTCTGGACTAGACTCAGGCGACGGAGGACGAGACTCAGGCTCACGACGCTCAGTAAGACTACCCGTCGGCGCAGTGTAAGGGGAAGGACCAGGCAGCGGAGAGGCAGGCTGTAACTGTGACTGTGACTGGACAGGCGGTGGACTCAGTAGGGGAGGAGTAGGACCAGTAGAGGGCGGGAGACCAAGAACCTGCTGAAGGAGCGGAACGTAGTACGGCCGCGGCCGCTCAGCAACTCCAGCTCCAACCCCCTCAGCAGCTCCAGTCCCAGCAGCTCCAGTAGCTCCAGTACGAGCACCTCCAGGACCAGCAGCTCCAGCAGCTCCAGCACCAGCAGCACCACCAGCAGCACCAGCACCTCCAGCAGCTCCAGCAGTAGCAGCACCTCCAGCAGCTCCAGTAGTACCAGCACCAGCAGCACCAGTCCCAGCAGCACCTCCAGCAGCTCCAGCAGCACCTCCAGCAGCTCCAGCAGCACCAGCACCAACAGCACCTCCAGCAGCACCAGCAGCACCGCCAGCAGCAGCAGCACCTCCAGCAGCTCCAGCAGCACCAGCACCAGCAGCACCTCCAGCAGCGCCAGCAGTAGCGCCAGCAGCACCAGCACCTCCAGCAGCTCCAGCAGCACCAGCACCAGCAGCACCTCCAGCAGCGCCAGCAGCAGCAGCACCTCCAGCAGCTCCAGCACCAGCAGCACCTCCAGCAGCTCCAGCACCAGCAGCACCTCCAGCTCCAGGGTCCGCGACACTAGTAGCGCCACTCCGGAGACTGCAGCGACGAGCGTACCACTCTCGGAGCCGCTGGGGAGAGGGCAGCTCCCGCCTAGGAGGGGAAGCACGAGCACGAGCTCCAGCAGCACCTCTCCTGAGGCTGCAGTACTGTAAGTACCACTCACGCAGCTGCTGTGAGGAAAGAGCGCCTCCAGGTGTAGCACTCTCAGTCGCAGCACCCTCTGGCTCAGTACCCTCAGACGTAGCACTCCCACGCTCAGCACCCCCAGACTCAGCACCCCCAGACTCAGCACCCGCAGGCTCCGCACCCCCAGACTCCGCAACCCCAGGCTCCGCACCCCCAGGCTCCGCACCCCCAGGCTCCGCACGCTCAGGCTCAGCACCCCTAGCATGACGAGAGTCGACAGCTACCTCGACAGGCTCAACCGGGTCTACCTGGGACACACCTGAGGGAGCGGCACCCTGAGGGGGGAGGGGGTCTACCACAGCAGCACCTGGCGCGAGGAAGAGAGGCGGGGGGGGGAGCGGGGCAGTGCGGTAGGGGAAGAGGCGGTAGTAGGGCACCGACTCGTCAAAAGTGACGTCCTGAGAGGGCAGGACACAGCGCGAGGTGGCGTGGTAAAACTGCCAACCAGACGCGTCCGGGACAAAGCCAAGGAAGACACAAGGAACAGCGCGGGAGGAGAGCTTGTCCGCGGACGTATCGCGGACAAAAGCTCGAGATCCCCAGACCCGGAAATGCGACGCATCGCCAACCTTCCCCGTCCACAGCAGTGTGGGCGAGGTCTCCGGCAAGGAGACACGGGGCCAGAGGTTGAGCTGATGCGCAGCGTACCGGACCGCAAACGGCCACAGAAAGCGGGGGGCAGCCGCATGGATCAAGGAGGTACGAGCGACCTCCATGACCAAGCCAATGCGGCGCTCACCAACCTCATTCTGCTGTGGAGAGGCCGGAAGCGTGAACGACTGCTCAATGCCCTCCCCCTGACAGAAGGCCCTCAAGAGGTCGGAGGAAAACTCCCCACCTCTGTCAGAGTGCAGACGCAGGACAGGAAAGTCTGAGTGGAACCTCTCGCTGAGCTGGAGACGGGCAGCGCGGATCCAAGGGATCAAAACATCAGGGACTTCACCCTTGGTGCGCAAGGGGAAGACCGTGGTGTAGCGCGAGTAGTCGTCAACAACTATCAAGAAGTACCTCTCCTGACCCTGTCCACGGACGCGGGCTGGGCCCCACACGTCCATGTGGAGCGTCTGCAGGGGAGCAGTCGTCGGGGGAGGAGTGAGGAGCGGCGCGCTGCCGCCCCTCGACACAGGGAAGACAAGGAGGAGCAGGCGAGGGTGGGAGGGGAGGGAGAACCCTGGGAAGACCAGAGACAAGGTACCGTTTGTGCATGCCACGAAGGCGCTGCACGGACGGGTGACCAAGGCGGTGGTGCCAGAGGACGGTCTCGTGCGCTAGAGAGCGACACGAGCAGGGGGCCGACAGCTGACCTGACGCAGACACAGACGCAGCTACCTGAGGGGACTCAGTGGTCAGTGTGTACAGGTCCGACCCCGGCTGCCTAGTGAAGGTAGCCAGGTGACGGCCCGTCCGAGCACACGTGCAGTGTGTCACGCGCTCGTAGGCAGGGGTGAACTGGTGGACACTCCCGTCCTGGAGCGCACA